TTCTTTATTGATTAAGAGTTAATATCAATAGTAATTTATACATACATTTTTTAATTTATTTATAGAGATGTTTGTCAGGGATAAAATTGTGATAGACTATAAAGTTCTAAAACGAACAATATCTTGGACATAAGAATTAACCCTATAATATTATTATAGTGAACATGAGACTGAAATATTTTGACTCCTAGACAAAATATTGACGTTTATCGTGGGAGTAAGAGTATAGAATCTCCCTCCACTCGTATATATCCATTTAATCCTCTTTCAAGGACTATGTTATGGTGTAATCATGAGTTTTACATCACTTAGAAGTTGAGATCAATGATAATTTATATATATTCTCATTTCTTAATTCATATATACATCTTTTAAGAATAAAAATGTGATGAATTGAAATTTTAAAATAGATAATACTTTAAATATGAGAATTCCTAATGGTAGTATTATAATAGACATGAGACTGAATATTCTCAACTTTGTAGTGTATTTTATGATCAAATTCAACCAAAACGTGACTAAAATAGATTTATATCAAGCAAAGTTAATTAAACTCTGATTTATGATCACTACAAAAAAAAAGCCTATTACCTACGGAATATTACCTACGGATACAAATCCGTAGGTAAATTTTACATTACCTACGGATATTACCCACGGATAAAAATCCGTAGGTAAATTTTACATTACCTACGGATATTACCCACGGATGAAAATCCGTAGGTAAATTGTACATTACCTACGGATATTACCTACGAAATTCTATTCGTAGGTAATTATCCATTACCTACGGATATTACCTACGAATATTACCCACGGATGAAAATCCATAGGTAAATTGTACATTACCTACGGATATTACCTACGGAATTCTATCCGTAGGTAATTATCCATTACCTACGGATATTATCTGTAGGTAATGTAATCCGTGGATAATTCCGTAGGTAATTACCTACGTAATTACTATCCGTAGGTAAAGTGTACATTACCTACGGATATTACCTACGGAATTCTATCCATGAGTAATTATCCATTACCTACGGATATTTTCCGTAGGTAATATCATCCGTGGGTAATTCCGTAGGTAATTACCTACAGAATTACTATCCGTAGATAAATTATATTAAACTAAAAAAATTGTCACTAGCAAGAATCGAACCCAGTACCTTAAAATTGAAAACTGATACTTCAACCACTAAACTATTAGGATATTCTAATAATAATTTACAACTAAATTATACTTATATTAATTCGTGTAAATATATAAATATATAAATATAAAATATATAAATATATAAATATAAAATATATAAATATAAAATATATAAATATATAAATATAAAATATATAAATATATAAATATAAAATATATAAATATATAAATATAAAATATATAAATATAAAATATATAAATATATAAATATAAAATATAAATATATAAATATATAAATATATAAATATATAAATATATAAATATATAAATATATAAATATATAAATATATAAATATATAAATATATAAATATATAAATATATAAATATATAAATATATAAATATATAAATATATAAATATATAAATATCTAAATATATAAATATCTAAATATCTAAATATATAAATATCTAAATATATAAATATCTAAATATATAAATATCTAAATATATAAATATATAAATATATAAATATATAAATATATAAATATATAAATATATAAATATACAAATATACAAATATACAAATATACAAATATACAAATATACAAATATACAAATACATAAATACATAAATACATAAATACATAAATACATAAATACATAAATATATAAATACATAAATATTTAAATATTTAAATATATAAATATATAAATATATAAATATATAAATATATAAATATATAAATATATAAATATATAAATATATAAATACATAAATATATAAATACATAAATACATAAATATATAAATATATAAATATATAAATACATAAATATATAAATACATAAATATATAAATACATAAATATATAAATACATAAATATATAAATACATAAATACATAAATACATAAATACATAAATATATAAATACATAAATACATAAATATATAAATACATAAATATATAAATATATAAATATATAAATACATAAATATATAAATATAAATATATAAATATATAAATACAAATATATAAATGTATAAATATATAAATATATAAATATATCAAAATATAAATATATTTTATATTTATATATATTTTATATTTATATATATTTTATATTTATATATATTTTATATTTATATATATTTTTTATATTTATATATATTTTATATTTATATATTTACATGGATAAATATAAATATAATTTATTTGTAAATTATTTTCAAAATAAGCTAATAGCTTAGTGGTTGGAGTATCAGGCTCCAACTCGAAGTACTTGGGTTCGAATCCTGCCAATGACAATTCCCTTAATCTAATAATAATTCAAAGCTTCGAAAATATAATAAATAATAAAAATATAATATAAAGGGGAGGGGGGTTCTAGGTAATAATAAAAAATAAGGGAGGGGGTTGTAATAAATAAAAATATTTTGTTAAGGTAAGTGCATTACCTACGGATTTTCTACGGAAAGAAATCCGTAGGTAAAGTGAGATTACCTACGGAGTTTTGTCATTACCTACGGATTTTACCCATAGATAATAAACGTTTTTTTTGTAGCGGATACCTCTCCAAAAGTTATATAAAGAAAAATAAATATACATGGACTTTCTCTTGAACCAAGACATGCAAGAAGAGAGAATGTATGATTTTATGGTAACATCCAACAAGAAAAGCAAAAGATGTACTAATATAAAACTATGCATATAATAGAGAGAAAGTTGTACTAGAGAGATAGAGCAAATTTGAAGCAACTCCAGAACAAATAAAACGTTCTTCAAAGGAGTTTCGAATTGATAAAGCAACACATGAAAAAAGCAAGCTTCAGGTCAACCAACTCAATGAACACTTCTACTAAAACTCATCTTCAGAAACCCCCCACGTGCCAATTATTTGTTATTGTTATTATTGATCCACTGTGTTAAGGTTTTGACTATCTTTGCAAGTAGAAAATAATGCATGTGGACATAAGAGGGGTTAAAGTATAATAAAGTGAAGGATAAATAATTGACTTACATGTATCATAGTAATGATGAAAACGATTGATATAGTTGTCAAGTAGGAAATCGTGTGAGCTTATTGTCTTTAACACTATGGACTAAATGAATAATAGTTAATAATTTATTCTCTTTATAACTTCAAGGATTAATAAAAAGAAAAAATGAAACTTAGTTTTAATGATTAATTGAATGCTTTGGTCTAAAACATTTGAAATAAATTAAAATATAAAAAGTGGTATTTTGTGTATTGTATATTAAAAAATACAATTTTGGATTAAAGATGATATTTATATATATATATATATATATGTATTAAAAAAAACACATAAGAAACTTGTGTATGTATGTTGGGTTTAAAATTTAATATATGAATAGTATTACACTAATCCCACATGCACCTACTAAATAAAGGTGAATTATGTTAGTCTTTGGTTAAAACGGGATCAGAATTCAAATAACTCATTTCTTTCTCCCAACCACAAGTTGAGTTCTTTTCTATTGTGATGGCAGATATGTTTCAGTGCGTCCCTTGTTGAGTCGTTTTAGTGTTTTATATCTAGGAATAAAAAAGTTTTGTCATTTTTTCTTTGTATTTTATATGGTTGTCCACACTTAGTCCCCCCAAAAGTCATAGTGAAATATATTAAAAAAAATCATGATTTGAAAACCGTGTTTGCTTTTGGCATCATTTTGGCTCAACGATGACCATAGACAAGATCATAGTTTGCCTTTCCATGATTCAACGTGGGACTTAATATATTGAGATCAATTCAGGATCCAGAAGAACAAATGTGGACCCAGACACAACAGTAATCTTTTTAATTTGAATCATATATTCCACTCATAACCGGTTCTTGCATTTATTTTTTCTTTCTCCCGTTAATCAAGTTAGTTTTTTTCTATTTGTTCACTTAAAATTTGAACTTCAAGTGAAATAATTAATTTTACATGTTTATGTCATTCTTTTTTGTTTACTGAAATCCTTAATTCAGATCAACATGGTCCCATCTAAATTAAATATAATTTTGATTGGATTCCCACGCTCACTGAAATTTTATTCCAAAATATTGATTTGATCACGATCTAGGATTGATTAAGGGATATACCTACTGTAAACACAACTTTCTGTGTAAAAAAACAAACAAACATAAGATTTCGTTCTTCTTTTAAGGCTTTTGTTTGGTGTTGCATTAAGTTAAAGGAATTTCGAATTAAAATTTTCATGTTTATAACAATCAATTTATATAAAATCTACTAAAATACACGTTAAGATGCATTTATATTTCTTGTGATTAGTATCAAATGATTCTTGATATACATTTTTTACATAAAAGAGCAGAGGGAGTATTTGAATGGTATAGTTTCAAAATCTTGAAAGTACTGTTTAACCATTTTTCCGTTTGACTTCTTGTTCATATAGCTTTGATTACTATGTAAGATGAATAAACTTGACAATAACCCTTACTTTATCATATGAATTTTCCCTTAATTTGTTCGAGTTCAACGCATAGCACTGATTAGAGAGATTTTCAAGAAAGTGATGAGCAGCATCTAGTCCCTTACTTTATCATAGAAAATAATGCTTCATTACTGACATTGAATTCGAGCATGCGAATTGCAGTAGCCAATAACCATAGGATTGGGATCAATTCATTAAAGCATTTCATTATCAGCTGCTACTTTGTGATGCTCAATCCCACAGATCCACCAGAAAAATGCAGCATAATTTACTCAAAATTAGTGAGGACTGATGAAACGTATTTATTACTAGAATAGATAGTGGTAGCATTTTGTTCGATTTTTGGACTCACGGGTATTCAATATTAATATCAATTAGTTTCCTTCTTATTCAGGAGTGTGCCATTGAGCATTAAGGTCAACATCAAGAAAATCAAAAGCTGATCGAGGCCTCACATAATCATCACCCACCGTATTAACTCTCTCACCTTTTTTACATTAAAAAAAAGAAAAAGGGTACACAATTCAACCCTTCCATGTCAAACTAAACTTTCCCATTAAAATTGACTTGTGCTTTAACCAATCTGGTCCTGCCACAGCACCATCATCTCATGCAACCCTGAACACAGTGGACCAAACCTCCCATTTTCCCAAAATTAATATATGCCAAAGGAAACAATAGGGTGAAGAGAGAGGCACAGAAGGCAACAACACCAATAAAGAGAGCAGCAACCAGCAAAGCTAAGAGCTAGAAAAAGAAAAGTGGCAAAGTTGTTGTAGAACCGAAGCAACTCCATGCTATAGGATTCATTTGAAGAAAGCTGAGAGAACTGAGAAGCCTCTCTCTGCAGCTTTACCTTTATCACTTTGCCTCCCTTCAACATGCTTTTTCTTGCCTTTTAAGCCCCCTCAGTAGTACCTTCTTCCACCACTACATCGTCCATGGAGTTTGACCTTCAAAACCCTTTGTCAAATCTTCACTCCGATGCCGTCTCTTACCTCTTCCTCCTTGAATCTGACCACACCCCATCACAGAATCACTCTCACACTCTCAAAGCCAGAGATCTTGACATCTCTGCCAGAAGAGAACTTGTTTCCCTAATCTCACAGGTAAGTGCCAATAATTTGATTGTTATCTGAGAAAAAAAATAGCTTTTCTTGAACATAATCTCAGTGTGCATTGGTTGGTCTTACTCAGTTATCCTGCACTTTGGATCCGGTTTTGTCTTACCTTGCTATCAACTACCTGGATCGGTTCTTAGCCAGACAAGGCATTTTGGTAAAGAATCCAAATGTGCTAGTTTGTTTGCTCATTTTCTCCATTGATCTTCAATTCTATTGATTCGTGTTTTCTTATGTCTGAATATTAAAGTAAATAGAATGTAGAATAGTACCTATCTACTAGATTATTTTCCCTTAAGATGAGACTCAACTTTGGTTTATGAAACAGAAACCGAAGCCATGGACCCTCAGGCTCATTGCTGTCTCATGCATTTCGCTAGCTATGAAGATGATGAGAACTGAATGCCCTGATGTCCAGGTAAAATCGCCATCATGCATTCTTAGTAATGAAGTGTCGGTAACATCAGAGGGTTTTATATCAGAAAAAGATTGGTAGTTTGGTATTGTTTCATTGACTGTGGTTTGTTTGTTTATTAGGCCCTTCTGAGTCAAAGTGATGGGGGCATCATCTTTGAGACGCAAACGATAAGAAGAATGGAAGCACTTATCTTGGGAGCATTACAATGGAGAATGCGATCGATAACCCCATTCTCTTTCATAACTTTCTTCATTGCCTTGATGGGGCTCAAAGACTCGCCAATGGGGACGGTTCTGAAAAACCGTGCCTCTGAAATCATATTTATGTCACAAAGAGGTACTCATAAATTCACAACATATGATGTAGTATTTAAACACTGCATTAATATTATATATATATATATATATATATATATATATATATATATATATAATGTGTGTGTGTGTGTGTAATTTATCAAATTTTTTGGAGTGGTAAAAAATATTAAATGCCATGGTATACCCCAAATCTAATTCAATAATTGTTGTCTTTTTGTGCAGAGATAAGGCTTTGGGAGTTCAAGCCATCTATAATTGCATCATCTGCCCTTCTGTGTGCTTCCCATGAGTTGTTTCCTTTTCAATATCCCTCCTTCTTAAAAGCAATATCCGATTCTTCTGATGTTGATAAAGTACATACAACACATTTCTCCTTTATCATTTTGCTTGCATGAATTACATGAACTACTTTGGAGGGGAAAGTGGCAAAGGATATTTTGAATATTGAATGGAATTAATTGAGAGTACGAAAAATTTACTGCAGGAAAGCGTGGAGCAGTGCTACAAAGTGATACAAGACATAGCCATAGAGGAGGAGTACGAGTCTGCGTTGAATGGGGTTTCAAGGTCAGACACGCCGATTAATGTGTTGGACCATCATTTTCTGAGTTCAGAAAGTGAAAAAACCAACGGAATCACCGTTTCTGATTCTCCTCTGAGACAAGAGAGGGACCTCAAAAGAAGGAAAATCACTCCTTGTGGAAACAATCCAACGATCCACAATTCTTGGATTAACTAAACCATGCTCAAGAACTACCAAAGAGAGAGTAAAGTAAAGAAAAGAAAAAAAAAACGTTTATGATTTACTTTACCCCTATGGTCCATCCGAAAGCGACCGTGTCATTAGTCATAATGTCATATCATCTTGGTGCAGTTAACCAAAAAAAATTGAAAATTTTGAAGTCATAAAGTGATGGGACGAGATTGAGAAGGGATGTTGATGTTGGTGGTGGACATAAAATCACTGTAACAACATGATCTTGGTACGTACGATAGGACTCTCTTTAGGGTGAGAAAAGGAAAAAGAGCACGCCAAGGAAGATAGATAGATAGATAAGTGGCTGGAATTTTTGTTTTTCTTAAACACCAAACAAAAAGACAAAACATGGCTTTGAATTGTAGTGTTGAATTTTTGCGTGTCTGTTATGTTTTGTGGTTTAAGTGGGGTTGTGTCGCTTAGCTTCTGGCAAGGAATTAATAATTGTAACACTGTAAACTGTGAAGGAACAGCTTTCCTGGAAAATAAAATTTAGTAGTAGTACTTTTGTATGAGAGCAAGCACCATATACTATTTATTTATTTGTTTATTTATGTTCTTTCCTTGTGAAGGGATGATGATAGGGTCAGCGCAAAGCAATGAGGGTGCATGAGCATGCATGTACTTTGGTAACTGTAGATGGAAATGCGTCTTCTGTCTCTGGGATTCGCTGTGAATATGTTGGGGCGAAAATGGTTAACCATTAATTAATTTGACAGCTAAGAATGGTGTTTTCTCCGGTCTCTATGTGGGGGTCTTTGTCCTTTTCTCTTTGTTTTCATCTTTGCTTCTTTCGTCTTGTCTTTGTTTATGTGGCTCTTATTTGTTAATTCACTGGTTACTGTTTCATTTTTACTTCCTTTCTCTTTCCCTTCGCTTCGCTAGTTACTACTTTATGTTTACTTCTTTCGTGTTCTACCTTTTGTCTCTTTCTCTTTAATTCCCTGGTTGCTGCAGGTACGTGAGAGTTTTAATACCAAGAATTAGGCAGAGAGATGCCAGTCACTCTCTGAATACGTTTTCTTTCTTAGTTTTTTATTAGCAGAAAAAATGGTTGAAAAAAAAAACATGTGGTTAGTAAGGAAAAATGTGATTAAAGAGAGATGAGTCACCATGTCTCAATTCTAACATCTTCGTTTTCTTATTATTAAACAAACCTTACTTTTTTTTTTTTTTTTTAATCTCTTCAACTTAAGATATGCTCTCCTTAGACATCTTTACCATGAATGTTATTCACATAGAGGTTGAGAATATATTTTAATTTCATTCATATTTCTTAACTTTAGATTTAGAGACTTATATTTTGGAGACTTATATTTTTAATATACTTGTAAATTTTACATTAATTAAATTATGTTATCATAACAAATAAGATAGAAACATTTTTTTTATGCGTAACATACATTTTTCAAACTAAATCATTCCACACTGTCTTTTTTTACCAACCCTTTGTCATTAACTACAATCCATCATTGTCCAAATAATTCATGGCAGCAACGTTTATATAAACAAAGATGTTTGATTGCTTATATAAACAAAGATGTTTGTCGACAAGGATAGATGAAAGAAGGAAAAAAATAAAATAAATTGATGAAGAAAAATAAAAATTAAAATCGAATTGTTATAGAATATTAACAATAATTAAAATTAAATTGAAACAAAATTTAAATAACTGAAATTTATAAAATTAAAATAAAGATTTTTTAATTAGAAGTGTAAAATAAAAAATTACTTTAAAATAAAATAGTATAGTGATTAAAATTAAATTAATGAAGAATTTAAATAACTGAAATTGATAAAATTAAAGCAAAGTGTTTTTAATTAAAAGTATAAGAATAAAAAATTGTTTTAAAATAAAATAATGCAATAATGAAAATTAAATTTCTGAAAGCATAATTTTAAAACAAAATTGAGAATTGAAATTGGAAAAAAGATGAATTGAAAATGAAAATGAAAATTAGTAATATTGGATTAAAATAAAAATTTTAAACAATTAAATAACAAAAATTAAAATAAACATTAAATGAATAAAATAAATAGAATAATATAAACTGAAAAATTCAATAAAAATTATAAATTAAATAAAAGAGAACAAATCGAAGTACAATAGCAGTAGATAAACTTGCCTAACTAAAGACTAAATTAAAAGCTGAGAGTGGGAAAAGAAAATGAGGACTAAACAAAACAACGAGTTATCACCCCCAATCATCAGATTATGACCGTGTTGTCACAAGATCTCTATTTACACGGGGTTGAACAAGAAAAATTAAACCTCAAATTAATTAAAATAAATTCTTAAAATAAAATCAAATGTTTTCCAAATAAAAAATTGGATTACTGTAAAGAGAAATTTCTGGTACTAATTTGGAGAAAATAATCTATTTTTTTTTCTATTTTGAGTGATCGAGCGCTGATTTGTATTTAATTTTTTATTCTCGTTGACCTTTAATTCGACTAAATTGGATTCTCACATTAACTATTTTACTTGATTTAAATTTTCTATTTGTAATGTTCCGCAAGTCGATTACACAAGCAAACTTGAGTTTCCAAAAAGAGTGAAGCTTAATGGACATCAACTTAGATATTTCTTTTCAGTCAATTTGGTCCATCTCAAATTATTTCTCCTACAATAAACAAAATATACACGATGAATATATACATATATATTATTTATTATATTAAAATTATATAAAATAAAAAAAAATAAAATTATACTATACTTTTAACGAAAAGATATTAAATACATAATTTATCAATAAAATAATTAACTAAAAAATATTCGTAACAATGAAATAAAAAGTAACATACCACTTCCACAACAATGTGATTGTTGTTAACAAGATCAAATGATATTTTAAGAACAACAAAGCGCAAAAATCAAATGTAAGGTTCTTTGTTGCAGAAAATAATAACCTTAGGAGTAGGAATCTGGTGTTGAAGTGAGGATTGGAAACACAAGACAAATTGGAACCATGCTTTTTTTATGCATTGAGGAGCATGATATTAATCGAATTTTTTTCTATAGTAGCACGTATTCGTTTTTTAATTACTCAAATAGCATACTTGTAGGTTTTATTTATCTAGATAACATAGTTTTTTGTTAAATTGAGAATTCGATTTTCCGGAATACTGAAACCTAAATGTAATTGTATTTTATAATTTTTTCAAACAATTTAGAATTCGATTTTCCGACAACGAATTCGAATAGTTTTCTTTTTATTTTGTTAAAAAACAAACTAACTAAAATATATATATATATATATATATATATATATATTCTAAAATATAATTTATATTAATTATTATAATATAAAATATATATTCCAAAATATAACTTATTTTCATTTATATATATATTATAGAAATTAAAATAAATTATATTTTAGAATATATATATATATATATATATATATTAAATATAAATTATTTTCAAGTTGATAATTATTATTCTAATTTATGCAAAATATATATATGATAGCGGTTCAACTTAAAAAGGAATATATAATAGCGGTTCCACGTTAACCGCTCTTAAAAGTGAACATATAATAGCGGTTCCACGTTAACCGCTCTTAAAAGTGAACATATTAATAGCGTTTCCACTTTAACCGCTCTTAAAAGTGAACATATAATATTAAAAATAGTTATAATTTTTATATATAATTTTATAATTAATATATATATATATATATATGTACGATTTAAAAACTATTTAAAAAACTAATCGATTAGTTTTTTCATACTTGATTTTTTCATACTTGATGAGAATCAGTTATTTTTTTAAATATTTGATTAATTTTTCAATAATCAATTAGTTTTTTAAATATATATTAAATAATTATAAATAAAAAAATATATCAACTTAAAATTAATTTTTTTTTAAATTATATATATTATATAAATTATAAATATAAAGTTAAAAAAATTATATTTAAAATTATAACCTTAAAAAAAATTATAATTATAAAATTAATAAAAATATAACTATTTTTAATGTTAAATAAATTATATATATTATATAAATTATATATATATATATATATATATATATATTACATAAATTAAAATTACATATATGAACTCTAAATTAATTTTATATATAAAATTTACATAAATAAAAATAAAAATTATCAACTTAAAAATAAATTATATTTTAATATATATATATATATATATATATATATATATATATATATTCTCCAAAGTATATCTTATTTTCATTTCTATAATATAAAATATATATATTTTTTAACTAATCGATTATTTTGAAATAATCAATTAGTTTTTTATGAGAACCAGTTATTTTTTAAATAATTGATTAATTTTTAAATAATCAATTAGTTTTTTAAATATATATTAAATAATTATAAATAAAATATATATAAATTCAAATTATAAAAAAAATAATTATTTTTAAATTATATATATTATATAAATTATAAATATAAATTTAAAAAAATTATATTTAAAATTATAACCTTAAAAAAATTATATTTAAAATTATAACCTTAAAAAAATTATATTTAAAATTATAACCTTAAAAAAATTATGATTATAAAATTAATAAAAATATAACTATTTTTAATGTTAAATAAATTATATATATTATATATATTATATAAATTATATATATATATATATATATATATATATATATATTACATAAAATAAAATTACTTATATGAACTCTAAATTAATTTTATATATAAAATTTACATAAATAAAAATAAAAATTATCAACTTAAAAATAAATTATATTTTAATATATATATATATATATATATATATATATATATATATACTCCAAAGTATAACTTATTTTCAAATTATAACTATATTATATATATATATATATATATATATATATATATATATATATATATATATATATATTAACTATTCAAAAAACTAATCGATTATTTCAAAAAGTAATCGATTAGTTTTTTCATACTTGATGAGAACCAGTTATTTTTTAAAATAATTGA